AAAAAAAAAAAAAAAAAAAAAAAAAAAAAAAAAAAAAAAAAAAAAAAATCACAGTGAACAAAATGAAGTTACAAATTAGTAGAAATAATACATTTCTGTATTTTAAGAATATATGTTTACATATACACCTAAAAAAAAAAAGCATACACACCAAAATGCAAACTATGATTATTACTTAGGGATGGGATAATGGAGAATTTTAAATTTTGCTTACTTATAATTTTTAATTTAATTTAAATTAATATATATTTAATTAATATTTAATTTAGTTTAAATTAATTTATATTAAAAATTATTTAAACTTATCATTCTCATCCCTATAATTGTGTCCTGTAACATGAGCAAATGCTAAAAAACAAAACAAAACAAAGGGTTTAAAAATAATTTATAATATCAATGTTACTTATCAAAAAGTCCTGAGCGGGAAAATAACCAGAACACAAATCAGAAACTTTTCTAACAAGAATCCTGTCATTAGAATTATTCTTCCATCATTAAAGCCAAATAATGGGGTGTTAGGGGTAAGAAAAAAACAACATATTAAGAAACAGGATCTGTGGTTAAAAGTCACTCTTTCTTCATCCCACTCTGATGTTTCTAAAATGTGTCCTGAAATTAACTGACTAGTCAGATTAAACGTTTTTGACTGGTATTTTAATGTCTAACATACTTGTCAAGATTCCAGCAGTAATTGGTCCCACGATGCCCATCAACAGGATGCTTACAGACATGAACCTACCATATTTGTGATGTCTGAGGGTGAAGAGGGCCAGTAATCCGGCAGGGGCATGAAAGAAGAGAGAAGACACCAGTGCCCACAGGAACACACCATACCACATCTCTATGAGGGAAAACAAAAGAACAGTTGCAAAGCACTGGCTTTCCCAGTGCAATCGCTGCAAAGGGGTTCTCATCATACCCAGTTATTTCATTTTCAAAATCATTTAGTTGCAGTGCAGGTTCATCAGTCAAATATCCAAATACTGATGGTTTGAGAGGGGTCCCCAACTACCGCCCATCAGCCACTTGTTTTTGTACATAAAGACTTATTTGAACCCATGTTCATTCATTTAAGCATTGTCTATGACTGCTCTCCAGCTACAAGAGCAAAGCTGATAACAGTGACAGAGACCACATAGCCTGTAAAGCCTAAAATATTTACTATGTGGCCCTTTACAGAAAAAGTTGGCCAAACCTGACAAGCTACCTCTACCTCCCACTGAATAAAAGGTTCACCTAGATTTGGAAATTGACCTAAATTTGCCTCCCATAAACACAGCGTAAGTACCAATTGATAGGGTACTATGCAATCAATGCCTGTTGATCTTTCCTGACTTTTTGATTATTGTTTCTTAAAATGGAAAGCTATACAATTGTATTCATTCAACTTATTTTTATCTATTTTGTTTCTTTTTTGGTGGCTGGCCAGTACAGGGATCTGTACTCTTTGACCTTGGTGTTATAACACCATGCTCTAACCAAATGAGCCAACTGGCCAGCCTCAACTTATTTTTAATCCTACTAGGATATCAAAGCTCTTAAGATGTGAAATAAACACCAGGAAATAGAAATATTTGGCTTGAAGACAAATGGCAGGTAAGTGACAGGGCAGGTTAGAAGAGCAGGTCCCTACGGAAAACCTTTAATCACTCTTAAGATGACTGTGATTCTGGCAACATTAAAATATTGGATCACCAACTACCGATAAATAACTATGCATGAGGAATCTTGGAAAATACAAAAAAGAGAACAATACTATCCTGCCTGGAAGTGACTTTATACTTTGGTAAACAGCAGACATAGCATTTTCTCCCAGTGAACCCAAGATAAGGCTTTAGTATCCTCAAGACAGCTCTCTAGCTACCCATGTACATGTACATGTTGGAATATGCATGCAGAACGAAGATGACACATAAGATAGAACCCCTTGTCCATCCGTGGCTAGAGGCAGGTAAGTAGCAGGCAGTTTTAGAGTTCAGCAAACAGCTTAATTCAGGAGGGATTCTTGACCACCACACCACTGGCATTTGGACCAGATAACTTTTTGTCATGGGGGCTGCCCTGTGCATTCTAGGATGTGGAGCAGCATCTTTGGTCAGTAACACTCCTTCCCCAATGTGACAAACAAAAATAATTCCAAACACTGCCAGATGTCCCCACTGGGACAAAAATACCCTGAATAAAAACCACTGGCTTGACTGAAGCAGGTTAATAAGAGAAATGGCAGTTAAAGCTACAAAGATAGATGGGGTCACATTATGGGGGGCTTTGAACACCACACTGAAGCTGTTAACATGAAAAACCTCTGGAAGTGCAGTTAAAGGTTTTCAGTAGTAAAGGGTAGTCAGGACATTATTCCACAGGCCCCACCTGATGCTTACAGTCAGAATACAAACTAGGAAACCACCTTTTTGAAGAGTAATTTGGAAGTCAAATGTGCATACCCTTTGCTGCAGCGATTTTACTTCCAGCAACACATCCTACAGGAATACACATGTAGGCAAAGCTGGAAGTAACAGAGGATCCCCAGCAGCATGTCTATAATAGCAAAAACTGGAGACCAAGTGCACGGCTGTCACTGTAGGACTTGTAAAACATGTTCTGTGCACCCACATAATGCAAAATTACATAGTCACATAACAACATGACGTAGATCTGTATATACTGATGGGGTAAGATGCCCACACGTTGTGAAGTGGAAAAAAAAAAGGCAAGTTGTAAACAGTAGGTAGAATAAGATATTGTTTCTGTAAAAACAAAATAAAATAAACAGACTGAATGTGTAAATGCTTCTATGTACTCAGAGAAGTCTGAACATGTTTGTTTATTTAGTAAATATTTACTATGCACACAGATGCTGTTCTAAGTGCTTTACAAGTACTAACTCATTTAATCCTCAAAACAACTGTGGGGCACATATTATTATTATTTATTGAAGCATAATTGATTGTACCTATTTGTTGGGTACAGAGTGGAATATCAATACCTGTGTTCAATGTATGATGATCCAATCAGGATAAGTAGAATATTCTTCATTACAAAATGTAATCATTCCTCATGTCCATTAACCAACTTTTCTCTAATCCCTCTCCCTCTCCCCCTTTCCCATGTCTAGTAACCACAGTTCTGTTCTCTCTTTCTGAAAGTTCAACATATTATTGTAATTGTTGCTTGTTTGTTTGTTTCATTTATTTATTTAGCTCCCACTTATGAGTGAGGACATGCAGTATTTCTCTGTCTGTGCCTGGCTTGTTTCACTTAACATATTCTTCCCCATGCTCATCCACGCTGCTGTGAATAGCAGAATTTCATTCTTTTTTGTGCTGAGTAGTATTCCATTGTGTATTTATATACATTTTCTTTATCCAGTCATTCACTGATGGGCATTTAGGTTGGTTCCATATCTTCGCTACTGTAAACAGAACTGCGATAAACGTGGGAGGAAGCACATATTATTAATATTCCTGTTCATGGGTGAGAAACAAAAGCAGAGGGATGTTAAGAAACTTGCCTGAGCCCACACTGTCAAGGCACAGCCCCTGACAGCCGTATCTTCACCTTCTATGCCACCTCTTGGTATATACCAACTTATAAAAAGTTGTTATTTCTGGGGAGTGGGGTTGATGACAATTCACCTTTTACTTTGTTGGGAAAACAAAGCTTTTATTTTAAAAGAACAGTTCAGGAAGACTGATTGGATTAGGAGGAACAATTAAAGAGAGACCAGTTAGGGGTGTCAATCTGCTTGGGGGGCAGGGAGTGGGCAGGAAGGACCAGCTATATTTGCATCGTAAACATACTGTTGTGTGTATGGTTTGTCTCCAGATCAATTAAAGCAACAGTTTATTAAAATGTTTTTATTCAAACCTTTTGCTGGATTGGGCAAGTTACCCTCTGCTAACTGCAGAGGCAACTCACTTCGTTCGGGCTTTTTGATACTTTGACATCTAGAGATCTTCCTATTTCTCTAAGATCTTTCACCTAGCCTTAGCTTTTTCTTACAGTCTAGTCTCCTCTCCTTCTCAGCATGAGTGTGACTCCACCTTGCTTCCAAAGCCTGCCTTGCTCTGAAGCATCCAATTGTAGAGACTCTTCACCAATGCCTCTGATTTATGGGCCTGAAAAAAATTATCCATGCCTGCGAACGTCTTCTGCTGAGATGCCCCATGCAGAGACTGTCTCTCCTCTTTCTTCCTCCATGGATCTGTTTATTCAGAACAGCCCCGATCCTTCCACCAGCTCTGAAGTAAAATTACCCACTTTTGTAGAGAAGAGCATAGTGAAAAAGGAAGATAAGGTCAAGAAACAGAAGACCAGAACCGTGTTCTCTCCCATCCAGTTTTGTGTACTCAATGATAGATTCCAGAGACAGAAATATATCAGTCTGCAGCAGATGCAAGAACTTTCCAACATCCTGCACCTTAGCTACAAACAGGCTAAGACCTGGTTGCAGAACCAGAGAATGAAATGTAAGAGGTGGCAGAAAAACAACTGGCCAAAGAAGAGCAACAGTGTGGCTTAGAAGGGCTCAGCATCTACAGCATACCTGGGCTTCTACTCTTCCTATTATCAGGGATGCCTGGTGAACACATCTGAAAACCTTCCAATGTGGAGCAACCAGCCCTGGGACAACCCTACTTGGATCAAGCAAACCTGGAATAGCCAGTCTTGGAGCAACCATTCCTGGAACAGTCAGACCTGGTGCGCCCAAGCCTGGAACAATCTGTTTCATAACCATGGAGAAGAATCTCTGCAGCCCTGCATGTGGTTCCAGTAAAACTATGCCAGTGATTTGGAAGCCCACCTTGGAAACTGCTGGGGAAAACCATAGCGAATATGGCAAACCACTAAGTATTTTAGTAACACACAAACCATGGATTTATTTTTAAATTACTACATGAACATGCAGCCTGAAGATGTGAAGATAGGTATATCATTCAATTTCAGTCTAGGCAGTGGCTGAAATCCATCCTTCCTTCCTTCCTCATAGGATTTTCCTTATTTTAGAGCTATGTAGCTCTGTCTTGATATCCTGGTTCTTGTGCCTGTTGTGTCAGTTTGGGGCGTGAGGTATGACTGGAGTCTAATCAAAGAGTTTTCAATAACCTTGGCTGCTATGGACAATATGATAAAAGATGACTGGCTGTAGATAGGTAGATGTAATACTAGATTGGATGTCTTTAGGATCTAGAACCTAACCTATATAGTAGAAAGTAAAAAGTACAAAGATGTGTGATATGAAGGATTACTCCTATTTTCTGGGATTGGGAGGCTTTACTTAAGAAACTCAGTTGTTCAGATGAAGGGTTAAACTATAACATGCTTCATTGATTTCCTCCACCCACTTTGTCTCTGTTTTACTACAATCCCTAATTTGTTCCGTACTCCAATATTTATAGAAAGATGTTTTGGATTTTGCTGCTTCATGATAATATCAGTCACAATTTGGCTGCCTAATAAAATATCCATTTTACCTTAAAAAACAAAACCAAGGCCAGAGGTTCGGATCCCTATATATAAGGATGGCCAGTTAGCTCACTTGGGAGAGTGTGGTGCTGACAACACCAAGTCAAGGGTTAAGATCCCCTTAATGGTCATCTTTCTAAAAAAAACAAATAGATAAAATAAAAGTCTGGGAGAGTGTGGTGCTGACAACACCAAGTCAAGGGTTAAGATCCCCTTAACGGTCATCTTTCTAAAAAAAACAAATAGATAAAATAAAAGTTTTTTTTTTTTTCAGTTTACATAGGCTTCTTATTCTTGTTGGGGGTGTAGGGGTAGGTTTGAGGGGTTAATGAATATTGGGGGTGAGGCAAATCCCCCTAAGCCAACCCTTAGCAA